TTAAAATAAGGGAGCCAATTAGATGTTGACAAAAACATGAAATAAGGTGCCCTTGCTATGTTCAAATATCTGAGATCCATTAGTATACCAATGCCATAAATAAAAGCCAGGACAACATGCTCCCCTGAGAGCGTAATTAGGTAGGAAAGAAGTCTGCAAAAGTTCCCCTCATTTATCTCCCGGAACTCAGCATCAAAATGTTTCATATAGAAAGATAACTATGTTCTGATATATAATGACCAGGAGATAAATTGCTAGTTATTAACAACAACAGCAGCATACTTGGTTGTAGCCTATCATTACTGGGATGAAGTGTGGGATAAAATCGCTTTTAAGTATATAAAATAAATAACATTAGAATACTAACATTCAATACAAATGCCCAGTAATAGCATTTGCTTTCCCCTTGCAGCATGCGCCTCGGATAACCTGATTGAATCTGTGGGTATTTTGCTCTGCTCTTTGTGGTCTGGTTTACATGTTTGAGAGTTGGTGGTCCCACAGCATGAGGCTGGAAACTTGTTTATAAGAAATATGTATTATTAATTGACTGCATAGGCCTGATGGAATAGAAAAGTTTACAGTGGCCATTTGAAAGTTGAAATAGAAGATGCCTTCTGAATCTCAGTTGGTAGAGTATTTCACAATACTGGACTGCTGACCCTAAAAGCTTGGTTCCTTGTTAAATGAGCCTTGCCAACTCAGGAAACGGCCAATAATGCTCCAGCAGATTATTTCAGTGATTAAGCTGGAATATAAGGTTTCAGGCAGCCCTTGACTGAAGTTGTCTGGACCTTTTAAAATTAATACAAGGACCAGGAACCTGACTTGGTAGTAGATGAGCAGCCAGTGCAAATGCTTTAACAATGGGGCCACATGTTTTCGGCCAGATGTAGCCAGAGGGAATCCAAATACCTTCCTGAAACACAGCTGTTGGGGCACTAATAATTTCTGTTACTCCTTTTTTCCCTCCAGTGACTTTTTGAAACTTGACCCCCCTCCACACATTTCCCATTCACTTTTATTACTATACATTCTGCTATACGGGGTGCAATCTGTTCTAGAAGAATGAGAAGCCCCTGCACTTGCACTTGCACAACTTGATCTCAGTCAGAGCCACCCTTTACACAGCAGCTCCATATTTTAGGGTGGCTATGCCAAAAAGAAAAAAGAGAGAACAAAAGATAATGCAGATTAATATAAATTTTACATATGCTAATTTATTTGTATATATTTAAATTTGAAGATAATTACTAAAATTTAAATAGAAATGCAATACATTTCACCATAGTGGGGAAGATGTGAGCAGGTTAGCTGTTCAGTCTGCTTCCCAGGTGCTAAAAGTTAAAGAGCAACTTAAAGGCTACAGCTTTCCCTTGTTATGGTTCTTTATCTTTTACCTGGGCTCAGACCAGACTGCCATTCAGATATACTATGGTATGAATTTTTGTCTTTTTATATTGTAAACTGCCCTGTGCTTCTTGGATGAAGGATGGTATTGAAATACCACTACTACTACTACTACTACTACTACTACTACTACTAATCTAGGACTGCCCTTAGTAATGTAGGACACAAGGCCTACCATATTTGAACCAGAAAGCACCGAGGGTTCTGGATCAGGGTGTGTATTTGTCAAAACATACCATGAGAGAAGATAAAGCAGAAATTAAAACACCTTAATAGAAGTTTTACATTTTATTTATTTTCATAATCATCACAGTAATAAACACTAAAGTAGCCAAATGCCACATAAGTAGCATAGACAAATATATTTTATTTTTCAACTACATGTTGGCAGGTATACACACAGTGCAGTTCACCTCGCAAACACATAAAAGTTTTGTTTTGTAAATATAGATATATAAGTATTGAGGGCAATGATGCACAGAAAGATAAAAATATATCCAAACACTTATACTTCAAATCTGTGAGCAACACCAGCGCTGTACATGGATGTTATCAAACCCATTGCAAAAAGCCAAACTACAAATTATTAAAATATATATACTAGTTTGGGAGTGCTAAAGATGTTGTAGCCATTGCATATTCTTTGTGGTCACTGCCAGAATGACCAAACCAGATCAAATATTGAAAACTAACGCTAGCCTAAAAGCGTTGGTTCTCTACCCCTTTTTATTCAATGCCAGTACTTATTTCCATTGAATTTAATTAGGGTTCTTCAAAATGTAAGTGCATATTCAGTACAAAGTCTACTAGATAAGTTTTAAAAGGGATCTGTTGTGTCTAAAGTGTGTATTGCATCCTGTTGGTTTGACAACACCCACCCACACCCAAGTCTACCAAAGCTTCTTTCCTGCAAAGCATTTAATTAACTGGTGTAATTAGAAGCACATCTGTGATGCTAATCATATAGTCGTATAGCTAACCATACAGCTCCATATATGGGAGCTTGGTATGGTGGCTTGAGGTGTACTATGGACAGAAGCTTAGAGAAAATAGCTTGAACAAGGAGCAAGGGAGAGGGGTGTCTATATACAAAACAGCTCCCCATGTTCTCAGGAAGGAAGAGAGTGCATGTGTGTAAGATCATTTTCCTGTATATATTGCTTGCTATTTTTGTATCTATGGATTGGTGCACAAGTATGACCACCGTAGCCTGTTGTGAATATGGGTTAAGCAGATATATGCAGACTTGAGCACATACTATATAAGTTTTACGATTGCTTGAGCACACTTCAGTTTGCAGCTCAACACATTTGTAACGTAGCTGCTAGTGCAAGTTGAACTGCATGTTGAAACAATCAGACAATTATGTGCTACACATGTTGTTAATCCACACTGCGGCCACAACACACTTATTTTTGAGTAAATTTGCACAACTAAACGTATCACCCAGAACCAATTGAAGAATACCTATTGCTGGTAGCAAAAAGCTCAAGACCCTTATAGAAAGCAGTGCCAAGAAGTTATAGGACAGGAATTGTCTGTGGTATTATCAGCCTAATGGAGAAAACCAGATAGTTCGCTGAAGAATGTGTCATAGCATACAGCATTATTGACTTATGAGACTCTAAGGCAGGGTGGTCCAACTTTTCATACGAAGTGGACTGCAAGAGTGATTCAACATGAAGCCCACGGGCTGCACACTGCCTTGTCACACATGTGCAGGGAGGGGAAGCCAGGCTGAATTCTGAGGCTCCCCCATCCCTCACACTGCTTTCCCAAAGCTGGCTAAGTGAGGTGGACTTTTGGGAGGCACCATGAGGCTCTGACAGGTACCTAGAGCCCTCCTAGCTCCTTTGGCTTTGGGAAGGAGGCTGGGGGAGTCTTCATGCCTCTCTCCTCAAGCCAGTGCCTTGCTTAGCCAGCTTTGCAAGGGCTGAGGGGGGTCATCAAATGTTGCTGAGAGCCGCCAAAAAAGGCCTCAAGGGTCACACATGGCCCCTGGGCCATGTGTTGGACCACTGTGCTCTAAGGGAATAAAAGAAACAAGGTGCTGTCCCAGGAGCAGGGAAGAAGTGGTTCTGTCTTTCCCTGTGGCTCCTCATATGATGTTTAGAACAGTGGAGAGCCTGCTTGAATATATATCATTACTGTAATATTGTCTCTGGTGGTAAGTGTTAAAATTCCCTGTTCGGTGGATAATATTGAGTGATAATTGCTCTTCTTGGGAATCAAGCAGTCATGCCATTAGTGAGAATGACCCCAAAGGGAGTATGACAGGACACGGATATTCATTTTTTTAAGAGAAAATGGAAGGGGCTGCCATAGCAACATTGTTTCCCACAGTGTATTTTTATATACAGTACACTCATTCTCTCTTTCTCTCATTTCTCAATCTGGTTTTATACTATAAAACAATAACCATGCTGAAAAATCAGTCCAGAACTCAATGTTTTTAGATTATTTGGTGAATTTGCTGCTTACAAGATAAAGGTAAATACACCTGAAATTCTAGTAATATATATATTGTAGAATACCTTGGAGATACAAAGGCAAAAAGTATCTGGGCATTAAGATGATAAATACATATTTAAACCAAGAATGAAATGTTTTTTTCCAAAATTATCTCATAACCAGCCTTAAGGAGTGATGAAAATTATTATGCCAAAATGTTGGTAACTATTTAGAGGTCTGTCCATGTCTACTGATAATATCTTTTTGCCAGGAGTTATGGGCTAATAAAAGGCTCACAGATACAGTTTAAAACAATCACAACTGAGAAAATTATGCAACAAAATTTGAAGAAAATAAACTAAAATATTAATGCTGAACAAGGAGACATTAAAATTCTTATGTATGCTACACTGTGGTTCTAGATAATTTGTTTAAAATCTGGAAATCCAGTTACTTATGCTATTATGAAAAGCTGAGTATTATATAGATTTAAACTGTGCTCCACCTTCTTACTGTTGACATCAATATTTCATAATGAGAAATCAAGAACAACATTTTCTGAGATATTGAAATTTGGAAAATATCTAATAATACAAGCAACAATAGTTCCATCATACCACCTTCAGTACCCTTGAAAAAAATATATTCTCTTCAACTTACGTGAGCATTTGGATGAACTTATTTAATTGTAAATAAGCTCTGGTTTGAACCCAATCATGTCCAATTATTAATCATTCTCTGTTTAAAAATAATTCTAAAAATCTGATTCTCACAGCCTCTCATTGCAGCTAAATACAATTAGTTCAAAAGTTATAAAAATTGTCTTTTTCAGTCTCACAAGAGGCAATTCATTTCATTTCAATATTATTTCCATTCATAACAAAAAAGATGTAAAAGAAACATTTTCATATTTAGATGACCATAAAGAGGACATCATTTTTAAGAGTGGACTCAGATGTGCTTTTAGAAGTCCACTGTCCAGACTCTTGGCATGGTGAGTGAATGCCTGAAGTTGCCCTAGACTCCTTCCTTCATTTAGCTACAAGCTAGCTACAGTCTAGCAAGGTGGGGTTATCAGTATTGCCGACTCTCCTTTCAGTCACAAAGCCTTCTTCTCTGAAGCCAGCAGTGCATTCTCTTCAGGCCTCAGAAGTGCTGAAATGAGAAGCATAAACCAGTGTGACAAAAGAGTTGGCTCTGTTTTGGTTTTTTGCCAAGCTCGATCTCATTATAGCAAATACATATGCACATGGCGCTAACTTGGGGGCTGGATGTGCTCATGCAGTCGTTCAACCCCACACTCCATAAGCACCAGGGGCTGCATGCAACCCATGCTGCTTCCCAGCCTGCCCACTCTGCTGACAGGGATGGCTACAAGACCAGCCTGGGCTGTACCACCTGTATGGCCAGCACAGGATATCCTGGAGGAAAAAGGTACCTGCCTTTTCCAGGGACACTTCCCAGGCTTCCAGCTGTGTCCTACAGCTCTGAACCAGGAGCGCAGGTGGCTGCCATGAGGATGTGCCCTAGAAAATAACTGTTTAGCAAGCAAGGCACCTCATAACTGTGTGTAAAATATATTTCCTTACCTAAAACCTCTGATTTCATAGATCCTATATATATTATTTATCAAACTCCTAATCAGCACTTAAATTGTGGAAAGGGGGCACAAATGTACTTGGGGCAACTGAAAGCCTAATTTATTATATTCTTGAAAAGTGCCTATTTCATCACCTTTGTAATACTATACCTCTTTGGGGGGAAAATATTCCAGAAATAAACCTCCCATGGTACAGTTAACACACATGCCCAGGAGCAATATAGTCCCCATCAACATTAAAAATGCTGAATGGTATACCATTGTCTCATTTTCTCTTTCTTACTCCCTTTCTTGGAAACTTCCATGCTATTCCCTGACTAAAATGCAGGAGTGTGTCCTAAGCACTTACTGAAAGCAGGATATCCCAGTGCAAACCCGCCAAATGAAGCAGAAAATATACGCATTGCCTGTATGATAGGCTTTGGTAATCAGAACCAATGTTTTAAACCATATTCAGTCTGATTGGTGTTAAAAAAAACACCTTAAAAATATTCATATCTTCTTCACTCACATCTAGGGGCGAGTTCAATAATGTGACAGTTTCACCGTTCAGTTCTCTACTTACAGCAGCTTTTTCGTGCTGCACTAAACATACTTTGGATAGCACATGGTAAACTATCATGAAACCCTCAAATTATATGCCATCCCTAGTCAGGATCCATTTCCTCCACACATTCACTATGCCACTGATTTGATATTGGTGAATATTGATATTCACTATGCCACTGATTGGATATTGTCACTCTAAATATATCTGTGCAGCTTTAGAGTTCAATACTCACTTATCTTCGTGTGCAGAGGCATTAATGACAAAAGGAATTTCTACCCTGTCTGTCTTCCCCAAGATCAAATGATACTTTTCAAGGTTTATCACACACTAAAATTAGAGGGAATATAAGAAAACAAATTAGACAACAGGTTAAGATCACCTCAGTAAAAGAAAATAGGGGATACCAAAAGTTGGGAGGGGAACAGAGTTTTACCTTCAAAGATTTCAGTGTCTGTAACCCCAGGGAGAAGTTTTTATCATTATCTTCTGGAAAGGGAGAGAAACATGTTCAGATAGAGATAAAATGCTATGATGAATCAATCTAACACATACACGAGCTCATATTTCCATGAGATGTGTTAGGTCCCTTAGTGCGGTGGAGGGGTCCCTGCCAACTCAATTTGTCTAAAGCAGCTGGAGAAGAACCTGCTCTTCCCTCAACTTTACCCTTCTTAATAGTTCAGTCACTATGTAAATCTAATCCTTTGCTTGTTCTGTGAAGCCAAGTATTAATCAATAGTGCTGAAGGATGTATTAATTCCTTTTCTTTTCTGAATTTTCTTTTCATGCAAGTAACCCATTCTTTCTGTGACCTGTTCCTTATATCTAAGTCACTGAATTGATTCCTCTGTAGAACAGTGATAAGAAATCATTGCTGATGGCAAAGAATTCTTAGTTGTCTCAGGGTAGTTTCTGTTGAGCCAAATTTAGAATTGTAAAGGCTGTCATTTATACATGAGAGGTGCCAGTACTGCCTGGAAATAATACTCTATCATTATTATTATTTATTTTAGGGTTTAGTATATCACTATGACACTTAACAGTTAAAAATTTCAATTCATATATACTCATATATACTTATTATCCAAATAAATATATAGATATTTCTAATACAGTTATATAAATTATACTCTGAGTTTGTAACCCTGCTGCTTAATCCCAGAACTTTGTAGTCTGATTGTCTTTATTTGATGGTGCGGGAAAAGCATATTGAGAGGTGCTTAATAACTTTAATACTTTCACTTGTTCTAAGAGAACATGATTCTGCATGCCCAAATTAAGCTAGGAAAAACAATGTACTAACTATAATCCCCTTCTTGGTCAGTCCCCAAAGCATTCCTGTCCAAAGCACAAGCTTAAGTTCACATAGAAATGTGTGAAATTGAACTTATAAAGTAGCTGTCTGGAGGCAGCTGAAAGATAGTTTTAAAAGGCAATTGGAAAAAGGAATTTCAACTTCTGGTGTATGTACTTATCCCACTTTCATCTCTGGTAAATGGGTTTTGCAGGACTTCATATTGTTTCAGAAACCTACAAACTGTTTTTGACCAGAGGCAACAGTGAGGCCAAATAGAGTTTTCTCAATTAGACTTCCAAGGATCCTTTTAAACTTGAGGAAGTAGGGATTTAAGCTGTGTTCTCGTACATTCCAAGCATGTGTTCCATTACTGAGGATGGGTCCTTCCACTGTGAGTCACTTTAATCCAATAGGGTTGGGTCCAGAGTGAGTTAGTTGAACTTAGAGGATTGGAATTAATGTTGGTTAGTTTTCATTGAAATCAGTGGCAAGTAAGGCTTTTGCGTTTTCCTTTTACAAAGAGTTTATATCCTACCCTTCCTCTGAGGATCTCAGGAAAGCAAACATGGTTCTTTATCCCATTTTATCCTCACAAGAACCCTGTTACGTTGCAAGGCAGTGATTGACCCTAGGCCATCCAGTTAACCTCATGGCTGAGTGGGTATTTGAACCTGTCTTCCCAGTCCTAGTCCAACATGCTTAACAGCTCTAATGGGAGTTGTAGTCCAAAACAGCTGGAGGGCACCAGGTTGGCTAAGACTGTTTTAGCCCACCTTCCCTAACCTGATGTCCTCCAGATGCTTCTAGACTGCAGCTTCCATCTGCCCTAACCTGCAGAGCCAGTAGTCATGGTGAAAGATACTCTAACAAGAATGCCACACTAACTCCCCTAAGCTCGACTAATTCAGTCTGGATCCAACCAAATAGATTAAAAAAAAAAAAAGGAAACTGACAGTGAATTGAGAGAGGTTTGGCTTCTCAGGGTACAACCACAACATATTTTTGTAATCTCAATCCAACAGATTTTAGAAACAAGTCAAAAGCCTCTCAAACCTGTTTACCAAATAAACTTACAAATTGCACCATAATGTACAAAAATAGGTTTGACAAGTACTATACTTGTATGGCATCTAACCTGCCTGAACACTCACCTGCCACAATTGCTGAACAGTCCACATGAATAGTCCCCATGGTAAGAACCAGGTGTTCTATGTGGCCAATCACTTTCATACTGTGTGGCAATGAAATCTTCTCGCCTTCGGGCTTAAAGGGTTTCATGTGCTCCTTTAATCTGCACAAGGAAAAAGTCACTGGGTTTACGTCAGGAGTTTGTTCATTTTAGGATGCCAGTACTTGTGTTGTGTTGTATCCTGGAACTGAGCATAGTTATTCCTATTCTGTAATTAGTATCTGATACAGATAAATAATTATTTTTATACAGCTTTATATTATTTGCTGTTAACTATACACCTAGATACTTTACCTTTCTTTCAATCTTTAGTCCTGACACATCTTGTAATTTTTGTTCTCATCATTCATATTTTTTACCAAGAGTTTGATTTGTCTTTATTAATCTTAAATCCTGCTACATCCCCCCTTTTTTTAACTCTTGTAATTCTTTCGGGATTGACTCTGTTGGTTCTTCTACAGATATCACTACATTGTCTGCAAATGCTTTTAATTTATATTGTCTCGGTCCCACTCTTATACTTTTAATTTCTTGGTTACATCTTATTCTTTGTGCCAATATGTCTAAAATTCATATGAACAACAAGGGTGACAACGGGCACTTTCAGAGAAAGAAGAAAGCACGGATGTTTTTGCTCTGTGGCAGATTGTGCTAGCCTGACTCGTGGGAAAAAGGAACAAATTAGTAAGACATTAAAACCTGGCAAGCCTTTTGTCTTTTGCTAATACACAATGTTCTACTGCTCTGTCAAGTAACATTTGAGGATTATTTGGATTCTTTTCATTTCTTACATGCCCCCTCTTTACGCTAAACCAAGACCACGTCTGGGGAGTGCTCAAGAAGAGTCTAGCGATTTTTCTGATCTACCAGAACTACCATCCAGCTAAAAATGAGAATTCTTCCCTCTGTTTCTTAGACTTGTTTTCTCTTAGGGCATTTTCATCACTGTGCTTATTTCAGCAATTGGATGAGCTCGGATAGGATATCTAATCCCTGCAGATCAAACCCACTGGGGAGTTTAGCCTGTGCTAATTTCTTGCCCCATTACATAATTGACAAGGTCGGGATGGTGCGTTCTGGACACCCACTTTCCTGCAGCATCTCTAGAGGTGTCCTTGAATAATGAATCTCTTCCAGGGCTGCATCCCATGCTTTCAGCCATGCTCTAACAGCATCCAAACAGGGTTATGGGCAACCACCATGTTTGGACCTTCCTAGGATGACCAGAGCAGAGTTTCTATAGGGAAAAGAAAAGCTGAGCATGATGGAATTAGGTAGGCGATTAGATGAGACAGAGAGAGCTGGGGAAATGTATACATCTCGGGGATCTTTTAAAATTAGATGTTACATTTAAAATGTTGATTATATAAACATTTAGTTATTTATTTTTAAAAGGGTTTTTTTAAAAAAAAATGCTTCTGATATCACAACATACTATTGGCTGGGCTCTTACAGAATCCTTCCTTTTCATTTTCTTTCAGTGGGGCCTACACAGGAGACAGTGTCTCGGTGGATTTGTGACATTCCATAGGGTCAAACCAAGTACTTCTGAGGGAACTCACAATTCCATAATGCTTGCTATTCTTTCCTCCTCACCCTTAGCTTTGTCCTAACAGTGTGCCTGTACTGGACTGACTGTTTTTTGTTTTTTTAAAAACAGTCTGTCCAATAGCTATAATTCCTTTCATTTTCCATGAGAACCTACTTTCATTTGTGCCTCCTTTGTGGTATTTTTCTACTGCACTGCTTTGCAATATGAGTCATCAGTGACTGATTTATGACCTATGCAGAGATGAGTCAATGCTAAAGGCACTTTGATACGGTTACTTTGAAGAACCCATTCTCCTATCTATTAAATGAGCTAGATTGATCAGAGCAAAAGACGAGAAAAATGCTCTATCCATTTCATCAACTTTTTCTTCCTTTGATCTTCCAACAAGTTAAATATAGTACAGTGTATGACCAGTTCCGATAGCTAAGACGCCCAGTCCTTTATATAATTTGCCATCGTTAAATATTCTGATTAACATGTTAATAATTTCCATAGCCCTTTTCTGCAAAGTACATTGCAATTACTTAATGTGTATTTTGTGCTTGATAATTAAATTGTATCCCACCCTCCATGCAAAGAATTCAGAACAGCAATCCTTTTACTTGGCAGGCAGAGACTGCCTTAGTCTTAGAGACTAACTAGTTTGGGCCCGATCTTCTATACTTCAGATTATTAAGATCTGCTTATAGGAGATAAGAATGCTTCTATGACATGGGCACTGATCACAGTGCACTCGTGCCTGCCTTTTAGTTAAACAAGTCAGTGTATGAACCCATGTTAATTTTTATTGCCTTGTCAAGCAAGATCTCATTTGGTTAGCTAAAGTTTAAACATTTATCAGTGTGTTGGCATGGAAGCATGCTCTGTTCTGCCCTGGTTGGTAGACAGTACTTCTGGCTGAGATACATGGCTAAAGAACAGATCACCATATGGCGAGTACTACATTCAATGTTCCCTCTCCTTCCTTCCCTCCTCCCCAAGAAATATAGGCTCCAATTTCCCTGGCACAGGTTAAGATTGCACAGTCTGAGCACACAAGGTTTTAAGATAATTTCAAAAATTAGAGCAGACTGGAGTGCAACTCTCCCCACTGTGTCACAACAACTGAATATAAAAACTCTTCTGACAAAGGCCCACATTCATGTGCTGGGTTGTGGCAAGGCTTACACACTCCTTATGTGCTCAGAAGCACTTTTTTCATTTGTATTTCACATGTTTCAAGATAGGGCACTGATACTGAAAATGGCTCAGCTTAAGCGCAAGGGTTGAATAGAGTCGGCCACGACTGGACCTAATGGTCAGGGGTCACTTTACTTTAGGAGGAAGAGTGCATGACCTTCAGAGAACAAACTAATAATCTGCATACAGATCTTTATTTAGCCAAAGTAGCACCATCCACACACAAGAGAGGCACCAGCAAGCTTGAAATAACTCCCAACATTTGCAAAAATACAGAAAAAGAAACAAGAGAAGAGCCTAAGGGAGGGCCCAGTGCTCAGGGCCCATAGGATGTTGTTTGTTTTGATGGGAAGCAGAACAAGGGAGGTGGATCGAAACTGAGTATCTTGGGCAAGGAGATGGCTGCCCCAAACCCTGAACAAGAGTACTCCACACTGCAACACACTACTTTGCTCTTTTTTTTTTTTTAAAGGAAAAAATTCACCAAATGATAAGACATTCAAGAGAGGAGGAGCCTTGGAAGTCTTTCTTAAATGGCTAGGGTGTTCCCACATCTGACTGGTGCACTGGAAGAGAACGTGAATTCGAAGGATGTTAAGATTAACAGTAAAACAGAATAAACCTTTTATCAATTCACTCAACATCATGTTATGCAGCCAAAGGCCGTAACAGTCAGAAAAAATAGACAATATCGTATCTAAAAAGGAGGAATACAAGCTAACAGCTATAAATAATTAGCAAAGACATCTATCATCACCTTTGCAATTAGCAACATGGATTTTAGCTGCTGACATACCAAACAATGCATCTGAGTGGATTGCCAGCTGGCGGAGAAAAAGAAATGGGCCTGACCTGCTCTTGTCTCTTTCATAGCATCTTGAAAAGCAGGAATTAGCAAGTTTTTCACAAGATGGAAACACACATCATCATCTGCTAATTTGCTGCAGATCAAACTGCCCTTAAAGGCACCTTAGCAGGGGCCAGATCAAAAGCAGGCAACTCAGCCTCCTAGCAGTTGGCTTTAGAGTGGTTATATAGAGGGCAGAACTCCTGCACTTTTAATAGTTGTATAGAAGAGGGAATTTCTGCAGATACAGCTTTTAATCTCATTTGCATCTGACTGCCCCCATTGTTTGTTCAGTATTCCTGTAACAAGATGTTTATGAGAAACTTAACATGAGATACACTCCAAAAAGGAATTCCAACTACAAACATCAGACAACATTTTCCCTCTTTTGGACACAGTTGTAGAGAGGGCTCCAAAGCACCATAGCCACAGACACAAAGTTATTCTCAAAGCAGAAGCGGGCAGAAGGTAGACTTAAGGTCAAAGTATAGAGATGATTTTCCTGGCTTGCTAATATTTTCATATCACTGCTGTTAAAAACACAGTTACAGTAACCAGTTTGAAAAGTTGGCAAACCTACTTTCACGTTGCAACACCCTAGGAAACTGCCTTATCCCAAGCCCATCTAGTTCCTTGATCTATCTAGTTCAGTATTGTTACCACCTAGTTCAGAAGTGGGGAACCTGTGCCACCACCACCCTGACACTGTTGGAATGCAATTCCCATCAGCATCTGGGGTGGCACAAGTTCTGCATCCCTGGTCTGCACTAGCTGGCAATAGGTGCCCAGAGTGCTATTGCACTTACATCATGTTGGTGATCCTCTCATAGGCGTATGGTTGGCCATTGTGGGAAATTAATCCTGGACTTGATTGTTGGATAACACCATAGACCGAGGTTTTTCTAATGTTCTTAGGGTTTCAGTCAGGAGTCTTTCCTGCTCTTCTTAAGACTCAAGGGCTGCTTTGCATGTAAAACATCACCACCACTAAGCTACAAACTTTCCCTGTTGAATGAGAACTCACTCTAGAACAGGCATAGGCAAACTCTGGCCCTCCAGATGTTTGGGACTACAATTCCCATCATCCTTAGCTAACTGGACCAGTGGTCAGGGTTGCTGGGAATCGTAGTCCCAAACATCTGGGGAGCTGGAGTTTGCCTATGCCTGCTCTAGAACAAAATTGTCAACTTTTTGTCTGGCAGTCCTTTACCTTTAAAAGTTATGCAACAGATAGAAATTCAACAAGTACTCAGTTTCCTGGTGTGGGAAAAAGCATCCCCAGTGGAATTTGTGTCTGCCATCCAGCTCTTAAAGGTAAAGAAGCGTGCTCGCCAAGTCAGCACAGTGCAAATGCATTAGTGAAGCAGATCTGGCACTCCCACTGGTAGATTTGCAATGCACTAACCTGCTCCCTTCCCCTGTCCATCTTGGTGTGCAGCAGTGAGGTCAGGTGAACACTGTCACATGCTTTTAACTAACAGTCTAGAAAACGAACTCCTTACCCTAGTCGCTCGAGACATGCAGATGATATGATATTGCTCTGACATCCAGTATCAACCACAACTTGCAGTTCCTTCCCAGCGCACTGTTGGGGCAAAACAGAGTATTTGAAAGAATCAGCTGACAGCTTCGATTTTTATTTGTGCTGTAGTGTAGCATTCTGGAAACAAACACCATTCCCCCCCCCCCCCAATTGTGATCTATCTGTGGAACCCTTTTTTGTATCACCAGTGGAGGGCTGATTTCTCAGTTACTAATTCTACTCTTGAAGAAATTCATTCTCCAGCTTTACACGTGAACACTCATTCAAGTTCAGTATTCCATCAGCCAGGATGTGCTTTTCATAATCTCATCAATTTTATCTGCCTATCTTATGTATGGCTTGGTTCACACTGTGCATTTTTCCCTCCACATGATGGCTCCAGGCATGTATTCATCCAGCAAACATGAAATGTAACCCCACCACACACTGTGGAGACAGATGCAGCTACTAAGAATGATCCCCCATGGTCACAATGGATTCTTAAAAATGCTGCTGTGATCATAGATATTGCCGCCGCATAAAGCTTTGGCTGTATTTGGGTTCAGCCACATAGGGAATTGGGTGCAGCCTTCTCACTGTAGTGGAAGACTGGCTGAAATATCAAATGTAGGCCCATGAAGCATACCTGGCAACACACCAGGATGAGGTCTTCTTGCTCTGTTTTCTTTGGGCCATCCAGTTTCATTTGATTCAGTTTATTTGTCTGGAGTGAGAGTTCGTTCTTCTGAGAGCAGCTGCCCCGGTTGTGGCGCAACCTGGACATGTTTGTCTCCATCAACCGTCTCTGGAGGATGTTGTGTGGTTGCTTAAAAAAAGAAAAAGAAAATTAGGGTAGGGGGAAATATAGGTTGATTGAAACCAAACAGTTGAATAATGCTGTCCTTTAAATACATGCATTATTTATGCAACTCAAGAAAAAAATATTTTGGCAGCATTAAATATGTATGTTTGTATCTAAATACACACATACAGTGTGACAAAGTATGTAGCCCTTTGTTGTTGAAAAGTCAAAGAACAGGACTCAGCCTAAAATCTGTGGGATAACCAGCCTCCTATAACCAACAAGGTTAAGTCTAATTAATGCATGAAGGGGTTAAGACCATAGAGTTAGCTGTCCTGGCAGGTGTAGCTCAGCTTGGGAGAGAGTAGGTAATCAAGACTTTATTCCCCTTAGTCTGTCTGAGAAGCTCAGCATGTGAAGAGTCTAAACTGGTTACTTCAGTTTAGGTGAATGGCTCTTAAAAGCAACTCTTGAGTTCCCCTATCAATAATTTAGGAACTTTCACCACTTTAACTAAGTCAAGTTTCGTTGTCTGTTCAGCTTTTTCTGAATGCTATATGGAAAAGCACATGAATCAGACCTTTGAAGAGTTTGTAAGTAACCTAATTTTTAACTTATCAAACATGTGGTATTTTCCTATACTGAGGAAGAGGAGCATTTTGCAACTCATATGAACATATTTTAAAGGTCTAATTGCCTATATTTCCACGCTTTACTTTGCTACATATTTTGTGTTTTTAAAACTCTGCTTGGGTTCTCTCACTGAAGAGTACTTTCCCCAAACCTGAATCTTGCCATCTAGGGAATTCTCCTTTTCTACCTATTTTTTTTTCTTGCAGTCAACAAAGTCCCCATCCCAAAGATTCTGCATGGAGAAAATGGCAGGCTGAAATTTATAAAGGAGTGGATAATTTCTGTTGTCATTCAGTATTTACAAATGGTGGTTCAAAGATATTTCAGGACATTTTGACATATTTAGTTGCTTGGATGAGGAAAACAATTTCACATACAGGGGACAGGAGTGCAATTTGGAAAAAAGCATTATCACTAATTTTCTAAAGGAGAGTATATTTATCACTAAAGAGTGAAGCAGCATGTAAAATTTAGTAAGTGGCATAAATATGTTGCTATTATTTTAATGTGCGCACAAACACAGTAGGCTAATGTCGGAGATATTGGGGAAATAATTTTTGAGGATGTGGTTTTGTGGTGCCCATTCACTGTTTTCTCTGCATTAGAACAGCTCCAATCACAGGTATATCAGGGATTTTATGTGGAAAATTTAAAAAGTTCAGTTGAGTTCTGTGGACTTCCTGGGCAGGTTTTTCATTTTGCCTTTGGCTCTGGGATGCTGAAGATATTTTGCTCAGTTCTGAAGGCATGCAGACACTTGCAGCCTGGAAGCTTCTGAGTGAACATGCATTGGATTGAACTGCATTTATTATTAGGGATGCCTTTAACAACTTCATGACATTCAAATTCCAGTTGTGTTGCTTTCCAACTGCTGCATTTCCATACCGGAAAAAGCCATAGCCATTAAAGACATAGAGCTTCCCGGAACAAAAGTGAGGCTGCTCTAATTGTAATACTGTATATCCTACATAAGTAGTCTTATAGTACTGGAACAGGGAATATGAGTGCAAAAGCCAGACCAGGATAAAGATATACTATAAAGAATCAGGGGGGTCTAGTATTTCCATTTTCTGCTTGGTAGTACATGACAGGATGAACATTCTCTCAGCCTTGGGACTCCCCATTTCTTCGGACTTGGGATGCAATGGTTGCAATAATTCTAAATAAAGACTAAATGCAAAGTTCAGACAATGTTTATTTGATTTGGCCAAATAAATTACTATTGAGCAATTATTACTCTTAGTGCCAAGACTTTGTAGCTGTGGGCTTTCCCCAATCCCTTCCTTCTTCCTTGGACTCTCTTCTCATCCTCCTCCCTCTCTCCTTCTTTAGGATGAAGTGCCTCATTCTATGCACTTTTACTCTCTCCTTCTTCCATCTTCACTGTTGATTGTGTTATTTTGTCTTAAACTCTTATAGTAAATCAGCCCATGTCAATCCAGTGGCTTTTAATATTTATTTGTTGAGTTTTACTATACAAAACTCTCTAGCATTACAAACTTGATTTTTTAAAAAATCTCATTCATGACATTATTGTACAGTTTACCATAAATTCTGAGGGAACTCCCTTTCCTCTGTTTCACCTGACTACCCAATCAAGGCACTTTCTTCCTGTCCCCCACCCCCATAGCACTGGAAGGGACTTTTGGGAATACTGTATTGGGCCGCTTCAGCATGTGGTAAATGCCCTCCGTATAAGAACCAATTTTATGCAGTTTTACGATCAGCCCATTGAACAATTTTCACATCCCTCATGTGGAAGAATGTGTTGTTAAGCAGATTTGGGTGGTTTGAACCAGAATCAGCCTCATGAATGTTGCAGTGAATGTTCTAATTGACTGCAACTCACCACCTCCTGAAAATAGAATGAACTAAGGGGGTGTTGTGAATTACAAGATGGAACAAGGGAATATTCACCAGGCTGCTTTTGACACTGAAAAACACACATCAATAATCATTGAGAGAATCATAGAGAGTACTCTTTTAAATTTAACAAGCTTTTTTTATTATTTTCCTCTATCCTGCTTTCTGTCCTTTCTTCACAAAGTAGAAGTGTTTAAATATCATGACGCTGACTTTTTATATATAAAACACACACATCCCTATTTAATGCCCCTGTCCTTTCTGCAATCTGTGACATAGCACTGTTTTGAAGCCTTTGAATATTCACACCTGGAGTACGGTTGTGGGTGTGAGCATGCCACGCTTATTACATCACAAGGGAAACAACTGAGAAAGAAATGACACAAGGGATCGCATAAAGAACTTGAGCCGCTACATCATAAAGCAGTAAATTATATTTAAAGGGGTAAGCCAACATAACGACAGAGAGTGATAATAAAACAAACTTACTCTCTCAGCACTGTATGGAACACTACTAAAAAGCACACTGGAGTCTCTCTCACATCTCACGTCACTTAAAGATGTTAATAGGAAGAAGAATTCGGAAGTGGAATCAAACATATGCCCCAGAATCAAAGCAGCCTTCACATTCACATAAAACACCAATTGAAGCCTCAGGCCTGAGTACAATACATACTCTCTCCAAGTTAAGGAAAACTGTATTTCTGTGAAGTAACTAACCATTTCCATAATGGAATCCTCAGGATCCTTGTCAGATTTGAGGTTCTTTGGAGGAAACCATGACAGTTAAGCTACTATGATAAGTTTATAGGATGGCTGTGCCTGCTGTGGTTCTCTCTTCTTCTGCTATACCTAAATTTCCCATGGACCCTCCTGGTTCAAGCTATATTATCTAGCAAGATTCATTTCGTGTCTGCATCTAACATAAATATTCCACAAAGCATTCCCAGCACCAGCTTCTTTTTCTTTGCTATCCAGTTCTGTGAGAATCACTGGTGTCTTGCAGTTACTCTTGACAGAACTAGACTGCACACGCCTTAAGGCAAGATTGGGGAATTCTTTTGTGTTTCTGCAGGCATCAACAAACTAAGCACTCAGCAAATATACATTAGACGATGAAAGGACAGAGGGCAAAGCTATAAATAATATTTCTCTATCACACATAGTATACTCCCTAGTTGTACAGTAAGAACGCACTATATCTATTTCAAACAACCACCTCTGGCCCATGCCATGCTGGCTGGGGGCTGATGGGAGTTGGAGTCCAACATTTGGATAGTCACAGTTCCCCATTCCTATTCTCCTTCTCATTGTCCTTTGCAGAGATATCTCAGAAATATTTCCAGTGGCTTTTACAGAAAACCTTTTACACAGCTCTGCTTATAGTTCTTTGGACCTGAAGGGGAATCATAGATACATAAGGTGGTAAAATACACATTTATGCATATTTTCACTAATGCGTGCCTCTTTATGCATGACTTCCCCGATACACCTATTTTTGGTGACATATTTTTGAGTGGATAACTACATTGCAGCATTCGGAGAAGTGTGAATTTCAAAGAAAAGCTTTGTCCTAGTTTTGCATATTGTTTTGGGAAGTGTGAATGAGGTAGGTTTGCACTAAAATGTGAAGTGACCCATATTTCTTCCCCATCCTAAGCCCATACACACACTTTTTTCACAACAATGGGCATTTTCCTAATTATATAACTTATTCCTGAGTACTTTAGTGCAGGTTGGTAAGATGCAAAAGAGGACAATGTTCCTGGACCCTTAAAGGTTGTATGAGGAGTGACATTCAGTAGAGTAGCTTGTCATGCAACCATTAACTTTAGCATGACCTAGAAATAGATAGCAGAAGTATATAGGTAGAGAGCTGGAGCCTTGCAAATGAAATAAACTTCAGGGGGGAAATGCTGAAAAAGCCATGGAAGTAAAATGCAAGCAGCCAATATATACTGTATATATTAGATTATGAGTCATGCTAGACAAGTAACATGATATTTTAGTTAACTAGCAATCAGCATAATGAACAGGCAGTAATTGCTAAAAATTAGTATGTGTAATGTAACATTTAAAGCAATATTTCATACTGTCTTGCATATCTGCACTATCTTGTTTGACCTTTTAGTTATTCTAGACATAACCCATCTTTCCAGAAAGTTCAATGCTGCTAACACGCACAAATAACTGTCTCTATAGGAAATACAATTAGAAAATATGAGCAAGATACAAAAAAATGCAAACAAGAAGAAACTGGGCAGTGAAAACCAGAAAGATATAAGAACTGCAGTAAAAAATCATCTAACAGAGGCTTCCTGAAAAGGAAGATTTGCACTTTGGAAAAGCTTAGAACTCCCTTTGTCTGAATCTTCAGATTATCTGAATCTCCAGATTATATATGTATACATATGTTGCACATACAACATGTTAATAACAGCAAATCTAAAACAGCAATACCATTTATCAAGATGTGTGATGTTTTAAATAAAAAGGGAATATCATGCATTAGTTTATGCATTCTGAATGTTCTGCAGGAATGGACTATAAGAATGGAGAAG